GAGCTAAACTTGCGTGAAATCCTGTGTTAGTTACATCTTAGCTTCTTTGCTTTGTCAAGCTGGATCTTGAACGTGCTGCACTGAAACTCGTTTTGGGGAATGGACTGCCAGAGTTAGGCTGTCAAACTGGAATAGGTGATCAATCAACAGCTGCCTTTCTGTAATATCAAACACTTGTTTATATAAATGCTGTTAGACTTCACATAGTATCAGATTTTACTTCCATGGCGACAGAAAAGTGGGTGCAGCCTTCTTATAAACCTTCTGCTGAATTCCTAGTAGCACTTGCATCAGTCCTCTCTGCGAACTGATATGAGGGATTATGCTGGATGGTTAAATTCTGAAATGAGCAAACAAGAAGGAAATGATTTATGTATGTATACAGTTTTTAAAAGCCTCTTAAATCACAGCTCACTTAAGTCCTGTGATGTTTTTCATAGTATTCCCTATGAACTGCAGACCATTATGTAGAAGGGAAGAGTGTTTGCTGGGCTGCCATTTAGAGACATGAAATGCATCTTGGTCTGTAGTCCAAAGGCAAGATTCTTTCTATGTTCAGCTTTTTTCAGTAAACAGAATTTCTGCAGTGCAACAAGCCCCTGAACAGCCGTGGAAATACCTTCTTTCTTCGGGAGGCTGGCACGGATGAAGCTGAGCAGGGCTTGTTTCAACTTTATGTTGCTTCAGAATAAGCAGGATCCCGCTTAGTCCTGTTAGCTGAGCTTGACACGTCAAGGCCAGCTACCACCGAAATAAGCAAATAAATTAGAATCTAGGGGGATAGAGAAGGGCTAGAAGCAGAAAGGCAAGTGGGACATGGTTAAGCACAGATTAAAGTTTGCTCAGGCCTGATTTAGGAGTTGTCATCCCTCCTGTGGTGTGCTCAAAAACATTCAAATAGTATTCAAAGTGCTTTTGTTGTTGTGGAACGTGATAGCTTAGCTCAATGGAAGTTTTATAACAACGTTTTCTTCTTTCCTTGAATTGAACTTTTAAGTCTTTTCTTGTAATTGAAATCATGATTTACTTTAGCAGAAATATTACTTGCAACATCCAGTGGAGCTGGTTTGTGAACAAAGCCAAAGTTTAACGAGTGTGGGCAAAGAAGCAAAGTGAAGTTCATACAGCTGCCAGCATATGCACTTTGGTTCTAGTTTGGGAAAGAACGTTGCTCACAGATATACCAAGTATTTTCTATGGTACAAGAAGTCTGCAGAACTGCCAGTGCCCTATGCACCACCAGAAGTATGTCAGAGCTAGGTTTTGACAGTGTTTTCCTTTAAAAATGGCTTTCAGAAGCAAAAGGTTGCTTGCATGTTTGTGCATGGAAGTGATAAGCTAGGCTTTGTGCTGTTCAACTGAGAGAGGGGAAAAAAGACCTCGAATATCCACTTTTGTACTCCTTGATTTTACGGCAAAATTCAGTGCAGGTTGAGGAAAACAGCCTTTAGTATCCCTGGAATAGCTGGAGAATGCAGGATAGCTGGAGGCTCCTCAGCTACTTGCCACTGCCTGCTATAACCTGCAAAGGTGATTCTCCCAGGTCAGTCGCAAAATTTGCCTGCGCATACTTAGAGGGCGAGCGTGATGCCGTACTGGCTCAAAGCCCAGTGATTTGCAAATTTGCAAATTTTGCTGTTAGCTAGTAAGCCTCTTCAAAATAAGTTTTGTCAGCTTTTTTTCTTTTCCATGTATCTTTATCGATAGAGGCTGGAACTCACTGGTTGGTAGAGAAAGATTCTTTGAAGGACTGCACTGTATATGAAATATCCTTCTCAATAGCATACCGGCAAATGGTTAAAGTGGCTTAGAAATAACACGGGTGGTTTATTTGATTTTGATTTAGTTAAGCTCTGTAGAGAGCTGTGGCAAGCAGCGTACTGGATTAGTTGGCGGGCTGAGACATCTGCTGGCACCTCCGAGGTAGGCTACGGCAGCGAGGCTTCCTCTTGCAGCGTCCTCAAATCTCACCATAGTGGTGTCTAGTAGTAAATGCTGTTGTATGGAGATGAAACTGTATGAAATGCAAGACTGCAGGCTTTGTCTTCAAAAAGCTTAAGGATCTGCACTCCTGCAAAAACTTTATAGCAAGACAGGGCTATTATTAGCAGTGTTGCACATGCGGAGAAAAGGAGCTGACAGAGGAGTGAAACCAGATTCTGGACTTACTGCAGTGTATTATTAGGAAAACTCTGTATGCACCATGTCAGTGCCTGTCCTGTTGGAAATTGAATTTAGGTGTGTAATTGATATGCTTGAAAGCCTGCTAATGGTAATTCAATGCTTTAAATTATGTACTTGGTTTGCTTAGTATTTTGCATGAAGTGCCTCATTTTATGAATATTAGACTTCGTATTACACCTTTGTGCCTGTTTGATTATTCGGGGATAGCTTGACTCTTAATCATTCCTCCCATGTTGAGATCATCTAAAAACTTAATGATCTTGCAGGGTAATAGGTTTGTCTAAGTTGTTAATAAATTAGCACCCTCAGGGACCAGGCCACACGGACTTCCACAGAATGTACACCTTCACTTTCTTCCCTTTCTGCATCTCACCCTGCTAAACAATTGCTGTTAGTTGCTGTAATATACTCCCCGACTCTGTGGCCAGGGTCTGTCTTTTACTTCTCCTTAATCCAACCCCTAAGCTTTTACCTGACAGCCATCTGACACCCTCCAGCTCAGTGTTCTGGTATTTTAGATGAATGATAAAATTCAAAGCCCTGGTAATTCTGCCTCTCCCTGTTTATACTTCTATTCCTGTGGTTCCCTTGTGATTGCTCAAGAAGTGTTTTCAGTATGTCCTCTCCAAATAGGATAAAAATCTGGAGGATGGAATGAAATTTAAATTGCAACTCTGTCTCAAGATCCCTAAAAATAGCAGGAAAATTATTGTAGACTTCGTCCAAGCAAAGCAAAGTCTAGATTATTGAAACGCATGAACTAGCTGACAGACAGAGAACATGGTGTAGCCTAGTAAAGGTGAGTCTTAGTAGTAGGGCAGTGGCTGTTAAGTACAGAGACTAAGGGAAATAACCATGAAGAAATGGAAGGACAAAACATGTTTCTGGGTTGATGGGGTTTTTTAGCTTTTTTAGCACATGTTCAAACCTAGAAATTGTGTGAGTTCTCTTTCAGTGAAGGCTAAGTGGCTTTTACGTTAGTAAAGGGCCTACCAACTTCCAGTGAGGAACAGTGTTGCAAGTCATTTAATAGAGCTCAGATGTAGGTACATGACCAGCACCTATTTAATTCTGAGCAGGTCTTTGATTCATGGAACTGTGAGAACTGGGGTCATTAGCGTCCAAAACAATTGCCGTGTAAATGCCATGTTCAGATCCCCTTATGGGTATTGAGGCATGTTGGTGGTGGACAGAAATTGAGTGGTGCTGTTTTGGATTATTTATAAAGAATTTATAGATAAAAGGAAGAAACTCTTCACTGAGGGTGGCAAGGCACTGGCACAGGTTGCCCAGAGAAGCTGTGGCTGCCCCCTCCCTGGAAGTGTTCAAGGACAGGTTGGCTGGGGCTTGGAGCAACCTGGTCTAGTGGAAGGTCCCCCTGCCAATGGCAGGAGGCTTGGAACTAGATGATCTTTACAGTCGATTCCAACCCAAACCATTCTATGATTCTATGATATCCTCAAGAAAGGTGATACCGGTACAAAATCATTTATGGTATCTCAAAGAAAGTATTGTAATTGATCAGAAGCTGAATAGCTGCTCCTGGTGGTTCATGTACCTAGAAAACATGGCAAAAGGATGAGTATCAGAAAATATTTGGGCTGAAAAGCAGATTTTAGCCGCATAATGCTGTGTAAATGTTTGCTACCTCCATTGCTTGGCTCTACTTGCCATTCATGTTGTGTAGAGTTTTGCGAGATACAAGGTTTGCAGGCAGCATTGGTATATTTTTCCAGGCCGCTTGATACAGCTGGAAAATAAGGGCACATTTTTGGATACACAAAATTGTTTGGTCTGAAATAGCTGTTCAGGCAGTGGCTGTGCAGTAATTGGCAGCAGATATCGATGTGTGTGTTCATCAGCCCGCCGAAGTCCTGATAGGGAGTGATGTAACTTGTGGGTAGGGAGTAATTACAGTACTCAGCAATATGAGTTCAGAGAGTGGTTAGTGCAAAGGACTCGCAGAGTTTTGTTGTCTTGCAGAGTAATTATGATCGTTAAGGAGGAACGAATGAGCACAAGTCCACTTACTGTGAGATAAGGTGGCATGTATAGGAAGGTTGGTGCACTTTGTAGGGACTGATGTTCCCCCAGCCACCCGCACCATGTACCTGATTGATTACTTTGAGCTTTTGAAGATAGGGTTCTCTCTATCACATTGCAAGAGCAAAGGTACAGATCTTTATAAAAAGTCCTTGGAGTGACAGTTAAAAACTTGCATTGCCCTTCAAAATATCGTATCACAAAAATACGCAGAAATGCAGATGGGATTTTTAAGAAACAGTAATGATCACTGTCTGATGTGTACAGCAGAGGAGTGTGTCTTCCACTTACTGACTTCTGCAACATGATCTTTTTTTTCTTCTAAATTGCTGGATCTTGCGAAGTGTTTATTATGGTGTTTGACAATCTGAAGTTGATACATTGACAAGCTGAACTGAGGTATTCCTAAGTGATATACTTTTGAAATGTATGTCAGTTTATCAGTAAGTGAAGTGGTGCTTCACATGAGCATTGGCGTTACTAAAAATCCCACGAAATGTTGATTATATATAATGTAGTACAGTAGAAATATTTCATTCTGTGACAGTAGCTTTTCACCAAGGAAAATAAAATAACTGTCCATCACTGGCTGTTATTAGCTGCATTTTTCTGCTCTAAAATAAATAAATGTTTTCTGCAATAAAAGCTTGCACTGTGAAAATACAACTACAAAATTATGTGATAACTTTACTGAAATGTACTTTTCGGTCTTTTCAGGCCTCTTTTATCTGGGGATTCCAGATGTGTTACTCTGCCTTTACTTTGTCTTTCAGATGATGATGTGGACCTAGAAGCTTTGGTAAACGACATGAATTCGTCATTTGAGAGTTTATACTCTACATGCAGTATGCAGTCGGAAACCACTCCGCTCCTTCAAAATGGTCAGCTCAACCGCAGTCAGTTGCCGTCCTCGGGATCCGGCGCGCTGCAGCCCATGTCTCCACGGCAGAAGGTGCAGCGGTCTCAGCCAGTGCGCATTATGGCAGTCAGGTAGGAATGAGGGACTTGCCTCCTTTTTGTTAAAGTTGTCTTGAACTAGCTTTAAAAGAACTACATGTTAAAATAGGAGATCAACTTCAGTAGGAGCCTAGTAGTGTTAGACTGGACTTTTGCATAGGAGAAAACATGTACCAGGTAGGTGAAGGACGCAGATTTTCTGTGTATTTTGCAAAATGCAAAAGTGTCACATTTTCACCATTTTTTTCAATCAATGTTTGATGTACCTGTAGTGGCAGACTTGCGTATCATTGGTATGAATTTTCAGAAATGATGCCCATATTTGGATTTATTTCCAAACTCTTAAAAATCGTTCTCTCAGGTGTGCTGCCTACTGACAGCCTCTTGGTTTTATAAAATGTAGGAGATCACATAGATGGATGAGGGTGTATTCAGACAGTTTCTGTGTACAAAGAATACTTGTCTTTGTGGAGGTTTCCAGAACGGTCCAACCCAACCAAACAAAAAAGGAGCACATCGTAGTTACTTAACTGCTCTTCTTAGAGCACTTTCAGCTCTTTCATTTGAGTGCATTATGGGAGTCATTACAAAAAAAGAAGTCTTTAAGTTGTCTGCCTGTTGTCAGGATGTGGGCTTGAATTCAAGTGGAATACTCTTGGTGGTGATGGGAGAGTCTATAGGTGATGCTGAGGTTCTGAAATCCTGTTTTTAGGCAGCAGGAGCTCCTGTCAGCGTGAGTAGGTAAATTGCCTGAATTGGAGAGATTTGGAGTTTTCCTTTCATTCTAACTAACAGTGTCTTATCCAAAAGAAGTGAGAAGTAGCAATAACAAAAGAAAAATCCCAAATGTGGAAAGGTGGAAAGGATTGCGCCTAGTTCTCTATGCTGATGTATTTCCTATAGGAATGGTATTCTTAAGAGAGGCAGCTTTTCTATATGGATGGGTAGTATGCATGAACTGCAGTACAACCAAGTCGGTTAATGATGCAACCATCTTTACAAGTATTTCATATTTAACCTTGAGTAGGGTTTACTAGAAAATGCACTCTCTGGAGTACTGTAACTGTCGATGTTTTGTAAATATCTCAATGAAAACACTTCATCTGAACTATTTTTGGCATTTCAAAACTTAGCAACTCTTTTTTGAGAACTCTGCCTTTCTGAACCCTGGTACTTCCATGTGCACAAGAACATCGTGTCTTTATCATTAAAGAAAATAACGGATAAACTTTTATTCGGGGTTATCTAGACCCTTTCCCATAGAGGGGGATGGCCGTGTCTTCTTTTGCAGCCAGAACAGAATGGTTGACTGTGGTAATTCTCCAAAGAGCACACTGTCAGCCATGAAGTAAATAATGCACTGCAGCAGTATGGGCAGAGCAGAGCGCAGCACAGCGATTTCTCATTTTAAGGAAACCACACCTTCCAAACTATGTCAAGTCTGTAGTTCCACTTCTTACAGTGGAGGTCAGTCAAAAACTTACGATGCAGAGCACCGTTACGCAGCTGCTGATGGGATGGGTCTGAGGTGGTCTCATGCCGCCCTTCGCCCTGCACTGTCGGGAGGTGCATGCGTGGGCAGCGCAGGAGAAACCCAGCAGGTCAAGCAGTCATTCTCAGGACGAGAGGCAAAGGCCTCAAGTTGTGTCAGGGGAGGTTTAGATTTGATATTAGGAAAAATTTCTTTAGGGAAGGAGTGGTCAGGCAGTGGAACAGACTGCCCAGGGAGGTGGTTGAGTCACCATCCCTGGAAGTGTTCAAAAAACGCGTGGGTGTGGCTCTTCGGGACATGGTTTAGCAGGCATGGTGGTGTTGGGGTGATGGTTGGACTTGATGATCTTAGAGGTCTTTTTCCAACCTATGATTCTATAGCTCATAGTTATGGCTGGAAGCTGCTGTTTATAACAAGACCCCGGACTATAAGGCTCGTTCATGGAACACGAAGGCAGCTCAATGGCAGGACAGAGTTACCTGCAGAGCAGATCTCCCCGCCATTTCTCTGCAA